TCTCTCTCTCTCTCTCTCTCTCTTCCTTTTTCTCTCCTCTCTCGCTTTCTCTCTTTAATCAAAAAAAAACAATTGAATTTACTTTACAATTATATCTAAGTTTTTTTTCTTATTTCTTATACATTCATTAAATAATAAAGAAATAGAAATGATTAATGCATGACCAATTGCGCCGTAAGAAGCGCCAAAGCATTCATTGGCATATTTCCGGAATGTATTCGACTTGAGGCAAATATTAAAATGCCAGTAAATGCTGATGAATAATCCATTAAAGCGATTGTTGTACGAAAGAATCCCTGAAATGAAAAATAAAAAAAAAAAGGATAAAATCTTATATTTTATTAATTTCAATTTTTCCATTAATTTTAATTTTATTGCTTTTTCTTTCTTTTTTTTTTTTGCAATGATAATAAAATGAAATATTTATTTATTGCGCTTTCAATAAATGATATAAGAAATAGAAGATATGATAATAAATTGATAGCAATTCATGATCGCATTATTTTATCATTAAATACAGGCAAATAATGAATGGAAATGGAAAAATGAAAATGGAATTTCATTTCATGATATATTAAGTAATTATTAAATGATTACCCAAGTCTATCGAATAATGATTATCCAATTCGATAAAATAATCATTTTGAGATATATTCTATCAAACATTTTTATATATTCTATTAAACATTTTACTAAAAACTAATCCATGAATTAAATTTCATTGCACATTACTGATGAGTTTAAATTTTTTTTTTTTATTACAAATGAATATTTGATGAAGCAAATCTTTCCTTTTATTTTGCTACAAATTGATTAATTCATCAATTAACGAGTAAACTACCAGATTAGCTAGTCCCAAACATTTAAATTCTAATTTTACTAAAGGCTAATTTACCAATTAAATTCTATTGCACATAATTAATGAATAAAATTTTTTAATTTTTAAATTCCTTTTTTAATTTTTTAACTTTCACTACGAATGAACATTTGATGAGTAAATTTTTTATTAGTTTTATTGTAAATTAATTAATCAAATAATCCTCAATAATAAGCAATAAGTGAATTTTTAAATAACTACAAAAAATTATCATTCAAATTAAAATATAAAATTTTAATTTAATTTATGAATTTTCATTCATTAATTATTTCACAAATTATTTCTCAACCGTATATCTGTCTAAACAACTCTCTTCCCATATTTATTCATAAGTTTAATTTTAATTATCAAGAAAAAAAACATTAAATATTTTCAAATTTTATATAATATGTTAAATGAAATTATTAAAGTGAACGATATCTGTTGTAAATAAATTCATTGCTTAATTTGTTCATTGATTGGATTTTTAATAAATGCATTTCAAAAATGATGTATAATTTCGATTGAAAAGTTTAAAAACTTAAACTTTTTTTAAACTAAAAACAAGAAAAAGTGTTGTCTCGTTTTGTCCTTTTTTAATTATCAATTGTTCATTATCAAAAGATAATCTGAAATCAAAATTTTCACTTTTTTACTCTCTCCTTTTTTTGACTATTTTTAAACAAAAATATTGTCAATCATACAAAGATAACTGAAATGATGCTTTGGAAATTGTCAAAACATTTGAAGGAAAAAAGTTTAAATTCAATCATCAGAAAATGAAACAATCAAAAAGAAAGAGAAAAAGGAGAGGAAAAAAATGAAACCGAGTGATTTAAATGAATAAAAATGGTTAATAATATGGGTAAAAGATAAAGTTGAAATATTTAAATGAATTTTCAGAGAAATAGCTGAAATGAGTAATTGGTATGGGTAAGATGGGAAGAGAAATATTTAAATAAATTTAAGAAAAATGTTGAAATGAGTAAAGTTATAGGTAAAATAGGAAAATGAAGTTTAAATATTAAAATGAATTTCAGTGAAATAACTGAAATGAATAATGGTATGGGTAAAATAGGAAGGTGAAATATTTAAATTTACTTACATGAATTTCAGAAAAATATTGAAATGGATATTTTTCGACATTTTCTGGTGTAATTTCATGTTCATTGCTTTTGTTAAATGAAAATCCAAATATTGTAAGACCAGAAATCAGGATGGTAAATAGAATTAATGGTAAGAGCAAACAAAATCGCATAAGGAACCATCCTGGATTACTACCATATCTTGAAAAAAAAAATAAAACAAATAAAATTTGCTAAATTATATTGCAATAAATTTATTAATTGCGATATACACTAATTTGTTGTATGTTAATTTTCGAAAATTTTGAAAAATTTCATAAATTTTTTTTTTGAAATTTTAAAATTAAAAAAAAAAATTTTTAGATAAAACTTACTTTTTTACAATTAAAAATAATATTAGCCAAATTAAAATATGTGCAAGACTAAGTGAAAAGACCGGAAATTCAATGGAAAATTTTCCCATAACATTAGGATCTTCAAAGTACCATGCATTTGGTACCCAATTGGATATATTAGTATAATGCGATAATTGTCGAATTCCATATCTTAAAAATGCATAATTAATAAATTCTTTATTTGTTTTAATAGAAATTGAAAAAATAAACGAATAAAAGTAAAACTTTTTTTGGCTTTTCATTTAAAATAAATTAATAATTTCTTCCCTTTTTCTTTTTTCGTTTTTTTTTTTTNTTTTT